CCATATCATTAATAATGTTGACTGCAGTAGTGTTATCACATGATGTTTGGATGTGCATGTGAACTTTGTCTTTAATGAAGGTCTGTAAAACAAAGTATATGGCCAACATTTTCAGGTAGTTAATGTGGTGTTTACATTCGATTTATGCCCAGTTTGCACCAGAGGATACCCCTTTGCATTCTGCCCCCCACCTAAGGGGGAAGCCTCTGTGTTAATTTGATGCTCAAATGGCAAGTGTGAAATTGCATTATGTGAACTTTACACATTGTGAACCCACCACTGCAGTTTATGTTTTGCTTTTTGTGATAAGGACATGAGTGAATCAAACTTACCCTTTTCTGTTTTAGGGCCATTTTACACTTTTCCAAATTTCTGTAATATAGGGGTTCATGCATCACCCTAGGAAAACTTGAGACAATGTTCCCAAGAGCACTTGCTACTTCCCTAGTAGTTGGGGAGGTTAAGTTGCAAGTAAGGTGGCACAAACAGTTCTTAAATCAACAGATTTATCTCTGGTCGGCTGAACTGTACTGAATTAATAACAAACCCCAAAATGTAAAGCACCTGAGTAGAGAGAAAAGTAGATTTCTGAGGGTGTACCACCAAACCCAGTGTGTCAAATAACACTATGCTGCCAATAAAATTTGCCATATACTGTTCAGAATTCTGACCTTGTAAATAAAGGTCATCAAGGTGTGCTGTCTGTGTAAGGTAGCTAGAGGAGGTTTTAAGTATTTTAGTGGACTGTCTTGGTGCACACAATCAACCATTGGGTATAAAGATGTGAGTTCATAGAGGTCTTCATCCCATTTAAAGCACAAAAATTTTTGATTGTCAGTTTTAATGGGAATTGAATAATAGGTATTCTTCAAATCAATTGAGGCCATGAAACAGTTTTTTGTTACAAGTTTTGTGATTGTGTGAAGAGAACCCATTTTAAAATGATGGTGGGTCACCAAATTGGGAGAGGTAGTCTGTGCTGGATAGGGGTGATAATACAATCAATACCCACACCCAAAATATCAGACAAGATTATACTCTATCACTAATGAGTTCTCTCCATGCTGCAAATTTAACAGCAACCTGTCCCGCCTGAAAACTGTGGCATGAATTGAGTTTTTTATTTGAAGTACTTGATCCATTATTTCTTGTCTGCGCTCTGCGGTTGTTTCCTTTTGAAGGGCCTATTGTGTCCCTTGTATAAAAAATATCCCTCTTGGGACTTTTAGCATAATGGGCAGAATGGCTAGAAGAATGTTGGCTCCCTTTGTAGGTGGACTGGCAGTAGGAGTGCCCCACAGAGTGGCTAATTTTGCTGGCTTCCCTGGCTTCTAACAGGTTTTTGGCCAAATCATTCCCAAAAGATACTGGCTGCCTAAAGGCACTCCTGCAGAGCATAATTATAGCAGAGTATTCCGATTTTAAAGCAGGTTTTATTTGTTCCCTGCAAATTTAGGATGGTTGATTGTTCAGGTGTCCAAGTATGGCTATAGAATCAACTGAATGATGGCCTTGGAATTATTGGTTAAACTAGAGGGGTTTACGACCAGCATGTTAGTTGGTTGCAGTGTTGCAATCGCAACTATAAGTATAATTTATTGCAGGGTAGATAGCTGCAGATCAGTCCTCCTTTGTTTAGAATTGAGTTGGCAATTGCACCCACCCTTAATATCGCCTCAATTTTTCCAGTCTTTTTTACCTATTAATCATACTTTTTATTTTGTCTGAGGACAGTTTTTAATCTCATCGTTTGACCGGTATGTCGGCCAGTTCCTGTTTAATTTTCTCGCCGGTGGCATCATCGTCATTCAAGCCATTGGCGATATCTTGGAGAGGCTTTGTCTCCGCGGTTGAGTTTTCCCACCCTTTTTGGCCGTTGGCCCGAGAATGCTCTGTGAGCATTTTGACATCGTCTTCATCGCCAAAGGAATCGCTTCCATGGAGACTGATATTGTCATCAAATGGAATTCTATCGCACTTCTGTTTTCTTTGTATTAGAGTTGTATTAGAGTCAGAGTCAGGTGACCCCGGTTCATCAACAGCAGAACTTGATCTTTTCTTGCCTGGTGGGCTGTCGCTTTATGGAAGCGATTTGTCACATAGTCTTGCTAAAATAGTGGCCGTTTGGCTCATGGTTTTGTCCACTTTCGACAAGTTTTGAACAAGACCTTTGTTTTCATCCACAACTGTGGG